GACAGAGTTTCACTCTTGTTGCCCAGGCTAGAGTGCAATGGCACAATATTGGCTCACCTGCAACCTCCGCCTCCCAAGTTCAAGCGATTCTCTTACCTCAGCCTCCCAAGTAGCTGGGATTACAGGCATGCGCCACCACGCCTAGCTAATTTTTATATTTTTAGTAGAGATGGGGTTTCACCATGTTGGCCAGGCTGGTCTTGAACTCCCGACCTTAGGTGATCTGCCCACCTTGGCCTCCCAAAGTGCTAGGATTACAAGCATGAGCCACTGTACCTGGCACAATTTTTAAGTGTTAACATAATTGTATATTAACACTTAAGTGTTAACATAATTGTATATTAATACAACGTATTACAAAAAAAATTGGCAGAAAAAAAATTCTTAGTTCTACTGTCCTATATACACACTCTAATTATGTTAAGTCTTAATCATGTTCATTTCCTTCCAGTCTTGCTATGCACTTGTAGCATAACTGAAACCATTGTTTAGCTGGACACAGTGGCATGTACTTCTAATCCCATCCGCTGGGGAGGCTAAGGCAGAAAGATCACTCCACTGTACTTCAGCCTGGGCAACATAGCAAGACCTCGTATCAAGGAAAAAAAGCATTTTTTATGTACATTATTATAACCTGATTTTTATTTAATGTTTTAAATCAACATATTTCTCCATAACCTGTTCTTTTTGATTTTGAGACAGAGTCTTGCTCTGTTGCCCAGGCTGGAGTGCAGTGGTGTGATCTCAGCTCACTGCTACCTCCTCCTTCCAGATTCAAGCGATTCTCCTGTCTCAGCCTCCCAAGTAGCTGGAATTATAGGCACTCACCACCATGCCCAGCTAATTTTTGTATTTTTAGTAGAGAAGGGGTTTCACCATGTTGGCCATACTGGTCTTGAACACCTGACCTCATGATCCGCCGGCCTCGGCCTCCCAAAGTGCTGGGATTGCAGGCATGAGCCACTGCGCCCAGCCCATAACCTGTTCTTTATTGTTTTACTTATTTATTCCCCTGTTACTAGACATTAGATCATTCTAGTTTTACTCTATGATAATTTCATAATGAACAACCTTGTTTACTTTGCACTTTCCATGTTTTGGATTCATTCACTAGTGTTTATACCCAAAGATGTGTGAGCATGTTTATAACTCTTGATAAAATGCCAAATGGCTTTCCAAGCATTGTCTCAAATTTCAGTCTCACTAATTAGTTGTAACTAATGCTTTAAACTATTGGCAGCAGTGGATGGGATCATTTTTCTGTCATTCTTATAATAGTTGAAGAATGATTTTTTTTTGTCAAGTCGTAGTTTCTAATTTCTAGTAAAGTGGATCCTTTTTTTCTTTTACTTACTAGTAATACTTTCTATTTTATGATATGGTTGTTTGAATTCTTTGCTCAGTTATCAGTTTAGTGTTTTACTTACTGATTTGTAGGAGCTCCTTAGCTATGAAAATGTTTACCTTTGGCTGGGCGCAGTGGCTCATGCCTGTAATCCCAGCACTTAGGGAAGCCGAAGTGGATAGATCATGAGATAAGGAGTTCAAGACCAGCCTGACCAATGTGGTGAAACCCCGTCTGTACTAAAATACAAAAAAAATAATAAAGAAAAAATTAGCCAAGTGTGGTGGTGTATACCTGTAATCCCAGCTACTTGGGAGGCTGAGGCAGGAGAATCGCTTGAACCTGGGAGGCATAAGTTGCAGTGAGCTGAGATCACGCCATTGCACACCAGCCTAGGTGACAAAAGCAAAACTCCAACTCAAAAAAAAATGTTAATCTTTAATCTGTTAAATTTGCCTCAAATACTTCTTCCCAGTTTGTTGTTTGCCTGTTGCTTTGGTTTATTTTTAACATACTGTGCATGTGAAAATGTTTTTTTTATGAAATCAAATGTCCATCTTGTTTTCCTTTCTCATTTTTACAAATCCAGTCCTTTCCAGAGATGTGATGAATTATAGTAGTCACTGCTTTCTTCCTTTTCCTGCAGTGTGACTTTGTTTTAATTTGTACTGCTAAGTGATGTGATAGGGCAAACCCGTTATCAAAAAAAGGATTTCTCACTCCAATTTCTGTTTACCTGAATGATTGGTGACATGATCCTTCCTTATTTATTTGCAAAGCTTCTCATAATTGTAGAGTAGTTTATTCAGCATATTCTGTTTGCCTCTCCAGTAGAGGATTTCTCCAGCCCTATTTTCTCTTTCCTTCCACCAGATCATGACCAACACAGGGAAGACAAGGCGGAAGGGGCCGGCCGGTGTGCTGCGGAGCGGGGATGAGCCGCTGCGAAGGCCTGTCACCCCCAGTGGCCACAGAAACGGGTACCCAGTGTAAGTCAGGGCTAAAGGAAGCGGGAATTGACTTTCTTAAGCTTTGTTTTGATTAACCGCAGTGTAAGATGTATGTATTTTTAAAATTCAAAATAAAGCATTCATACTGAAAAGCATTTATGTCTTTATTTTGGGGGGATTTTTGGAGGGAAAGAGATCGAGTCCTCCCTTTACCCAGAATTTTTTTGTTCCAGAAAGAGAAGCGGTTGGATTACAGGATTTTCAGAAGACGAATGTTGGCCAGAGTAATTTCAAAAGAAGGGGCCTGAGAGGAGCCAGGCCCTCTCCAGAAGGACACCTGTCATGCCTTCTCTGCGGCCTCTCGTCCTAGCGCCAAGCCCTTTGTTGGGATTGGAATGTCACAGTTTAAGACTCGAAATTGATTTATTTTAGATGACTTTTTGGGACAACTGGATGCAGTTTTAGCTGCCAAGCCTTAATTCCTTTTCCATAGCCTTGCTCGTACCCCATTTAGATAAATAAACGTTTAGTCTGCTTGCGTAGAGCCTCTGATCTCCCTGGGGGACTAAGCCCCCTGTGGGGGTAAGGAGCCCCAGATCAGACAGTCCAGTGGGCAGTAGAGAAGCCACTTTTGTGGTTTGGGTGGCCTCTCTTTTCCTATCTGGAGAGAATATTATGGCAAAATATTACAGAGAGCAGGCTAAAAACCTCCATATCTTCATTCAACGAATAATGGTCATGTCATATTTTAGATGAATATACCATGTTTACTTAGTTATTCCCTGAGGCCAGGCAGTTTAGTTCTCTCCAGTCTTACTCTATTGCAATTTTCTAATGAACAACCAGGCACTGGGGACTGAGCATCAACACTCAGAAATGCCTGCCCTCACGGGGCTCTGTGCAGCACGGATCCCAGGGACGCCAGGCAAGACACACCCAGCTCCTTGACACATTCTGTCACCCAGCTGGGATTTGACCTATAAATATTTCGGGGCCCATGCCATAGATGAGTGCTCGGAGATCTGTTTGGCTTGATTTCATAATTAGGTATGATATACTTGTATTTCTAGGTGTTTATTTTTAATTGCTGATGTATAAACTAGTACACCCTTGTCTCTCTTAAACTTACAAGCAGTGTTTTTAACCTACAGAAAAGTTGAAAGAATATTACAATGAAGAGCTTCCAGTTAACATTTGTGTGCCCTGTCTCCCTGTCTCGCTCTCCTTCTGTGTGTGTAATACCTAATTTACATGCATATACATGTTTTTGCTGGACTATCTGAGAGAAGAATGCAGGCTTTAGCACATAACCCCATTCTCACAGCTAAGAAATATAACATTAATAACACAGATACAGTATTATCACTATTCCTTAATTGTCCCCCAAATGTTCTTTACATCTGAGGGGTTTTGGCTCATTTGATTTTTATCCAGAATAAGCCAGCTATCAATTACTAGTAAATCTAGTTGATACATATAATATATTTTTAAATGGAAGTGTAACGAACTAATAAAATTCATCTTGCTTGATATGGGAAAGAGGACACTGACTCATTGTTTTAAAAGTGTTTTTAAATTATTTTTTAAAATAATTAAAACTGGTTTCACCGAGAGACAACAGTGGCATAGGCTATTTTAATCAGAGATAAAGATAAAGGGAATCTAATAAATGTAAGGGCTAACCAGTGGGCACAGTCAATTCTCGGGTCAGATGTTCTTCTTTGCAGAGAAATTTGAGGGCATTTTCCATGGCTGGGAGCACATCTGGCTCTTCCCTGATTTGTGGGGTGGTCCCATCCAGATCTTTGGCTCTGGCAAGCTGCCAGGTAGTGAGGGCGGCTTGTTTTCCTGAAACCACGGACCTTCCCACTATAAAGATGCAGTCACCTGTGACCAGCTTCCTCCATCAAGTCTCAACAAACATTTGGATCACTTCTCTGCCATGTGTTCTCATTGCGGGGGTTGCGGAAATCAATGAGATGTGGTTGCTGCCCTCAGAAGCAGACAGAGCGAGCTGTGCGGTGGGGAAAAGAGCTGGTTGGCGTAATGCAGCGGGCACTCTCCCCAGCCCATGGGCACTCTGGAGGGCTGCAGGATGCTGATGTGCAAGATTCCTACTCCCACCTTCACATCTCGAGCTCACCTCTTAGAAGTTTGAATGCTGGCCAGGCGCGGTGGCTCAAGCCTGTAATCCCAGCACTTTGGGAGGCCGAGGCGGGTGGATCACGAGGTCAAGAGATCGAGACCATCCTGGTCAACATGGTGAAACCCCGTCTCTACTAAAAATACAAAAAACATTAGCTGGGCATGGTGGCGTGTGCCTGTAATCCCAGCTACTCAGGAGGTTGAGGCAGGAGAATTGCCTGAACCCAGGAGGTGGAGGTTGCGGTGAGCCGAGATCGCGCCATTGCACTCCAGCCTGGGTAGCAAGAGTGAAACTCCGTCTCAAAAAAAAAAAAAAAAAGAAGTTTGAATGCTGGAGGTCTCGGACATTATTGCCCACAGATAAGAGACTGCTCTATGTGATGTAAGATAGGCATCCTGGCTTATTTTTCTCCATGTAGAGAGCTACTCTTCTCTACACCACCTATAAACAGCTCTCTCTTTTTTTTTTTTTTTTAAGACAGTTTCACTTTTCTCGCTCAGGCTAGAGTACAATGGTGCAATCTTGGCTTACCGCAACCTCTGTCCCCTGGGTTAAAGTGATTCTCCAGCCTCAGCCTCCCAAGTAGCTGGGATTACAGGCATGAGCCTGGCTAGTTTTGTGTTTTTAGTAGAGACGGGGTTTCTCCACGTTGGTCAGGCTGATCTAGAACTCCTGACCTCAGGTGATCCGCCCGCCTGGGCCTCCCAAAGTGCTGGGATTACAGGCGTGAGCCACCATGCCTGACCATTATTTCTCCACTGATTCGAGGTGCCACTAATTCTGTATCCCCTCCAATCACCCTAGCTCTCTATTTTGACACATGGTCTAGTTGCCTGTTGTCACACCCGTGTTTATTGCAAAGGTTTTTAGCATATCTAAATATTGCATAGGAAAAGCCCCTCTCACTGCCTGCCTTTGGCCTTCTCTTTCAGAGTTGATTTAACTATGTATAGACCTTTATTTTTCCATAAGCATTTAAAAATAAGTCTGGCAACTTCCTTAAAAAAATTGTTTTAAGGGTCAGGCACGATGGCTCACACCTGTAATCCCAGCACTTTGGGAGGTTGAGGCAGGTGAATCACGAGCTTAGGAGTTCAAGACCAGCCTGTCCAACATGGTGAAACCCTGTCTCTACTAAAAATACAAAAATTAGCTGGTGGTAGTGGTGGGCGCCACTCAGGAGGCTAAGGCAGGAGAATCGCTTGAACCCAGGAGGCAGAGCTTACAGTGAGCTAAGATTGCAACACTGCACTCCAGCCTGGGCAACAGTGAGACTGCATCTCAAAAAAAAAAAAAAAAAAAGGAAAAAAGATTCTTTTAGGATTTTGATTAGTATCACCTTAAATCTATGTAATGTTTTGGAGATAATTGAAATCTTGGCAATGTTAAGTCACTGTGCAGTATTGCATTATATTAATTTTATATGTTAAGAGAATGATGGTCCCTCAAAGATATCCAGATTGCGGTCCTCATAACCTGTGACTGCATTACGTTACATGGCAGAAAGGACTTTGGGGATGTGAATAAGTTAACGACCTAGGGAGAGATGATTCTGGATAATCTGGGTGGACTCAATGAAACCACAAGGGTCCTTACTGAAGGGAGCCAGGTGCATCAGAAACAAAAGATGTGACAACCGTGTCAGAAGTCTGAGTGCTGCAAGGCCATGAGCCGAGGAATGCAGACACCCTCTGGAAACAGGAAGAAGTGAAATAAATTCTCTCCTAGAGCCTCCAGAAAGAATGCAGCCCTGTTGACCCATCAGCAGATGAACTCTTGACCTCCATAATGGTGACACAAATTTGTGTTGTTTTAAGTCACTAAGTTTGTGGTAAGACTGCAAATTATGAAACAACTACAGGAAGACACTGGGAAGTATCTCCAGGACATTGTTCTGGGCAAAAATTTCTTGAGTAACAACCCACAACCAAAGCAAAAATGAACAAATGGGATCACATCAAGTTAAAAAGCTTCTATAGCAAAGGAACCAATCAATAAGGTGAAGAGACAGCCGACAGAATGGCAGGAAATATTTGCACACTACCCATCTGACAAGGAGTTAACAATCAGAATTAAAAACGAACTCAAACAACTGTATAGGAAAAGTCTAATAGTCGGATTAAAAAATGGACAAAAGAGGCCAGGCGTGGTGGCTCATGCCTATAATTCCAGCACTTTGGCAAGCCAAGGCAGGCAGATTATCTCAGGTCAGGAGTTCGAGACCAGCCTGGCCAACATGATGAAACCCCGTCACTACTAAAAATACAAAAAATTAGCCGGGCATAGTGACAGGTGCCTGTAATCCCAGCTACTAAAGAGGCTGAGGCAGGAGAATCGCTTGAACCTGGGAAGGCGGAGGTTGCAGTGAGCCGAGATCACCACTGCACGCCAGCGTAGGCAACAAAAGTGAAACTGTCTCAAAAAAAAAAAAAGGACAAAAGATTTGAATAGACAAATAGACATCAAAAGAAGACATACAGATGACAAACAGGCTTATGAAAAGGTGCTCAGTGTCATTGATCATCAGAGAAATGCAGATCAAAACTACAGTGAGATATCCTCTCACCCCAGTTAAAATGGCTTATGTCCAAAAGTCAGACAGTAACAAATGCTGGCAAGGATGTGGAGAAAAAGGCACCCTCATACGCTGTTGGTGGGAATGTAAATTGGTCCAGCCACTATGGAGAACGGTTTGGAGATTCCTCAAAAAACTAAAAATAGAGCTGCCATACGATCCAGCAGACCCACTGCCGGATATATACCCAAAAGAAAGGAAGTCCTATATCAAAGATAGCTCTGCATCCCACCTTTGCTGCAGCACCGTTTACAATAGCCAAGATCGGGAAGCAACGTAAATGTCCATCAGCAGATGAATGGACAAAGAAAAATGTGG